AAGATACTAAAGAGCTGAACAGAAGATTCCAAAAGGCTGCTAGGAATGACAAAGGAAAATACTACAATGAAATGTGGGAGGAGCTAGAGTCAGAAAATCAAAAGGGCAGAACTTGCTCAGCATTTCTTAAGCTCAAGGAGCTGAAGAACAAATTCAAACCTCGAGTTGCTGTAATCAAGGATGCTTTGGGCAGAATATTAACCAGCAGTAGATAATCTCCTTCCAAGCAATTTATAAAGGGAAGACTGCTAGAGTGTTTGGAACTGACTCCACAGCAAGAAGAGGAAGAATCAGAATTTTACCTTATCCACATAAAACACAGTGCTGTCAAGTAGATTTTTTACTCATACTGACACTATTGGACGAAGAAGAATGGCCATGTAGGCTTTCTGAGGCTGCAAAGCTCTATAAGAGCAGACCGCCTCATCTTTTTTCCACTGAGCTGCTAGATTCAATTGCTAGCTTTTTTCTTAACAGTCCAACATTTAACCCATAAACCACCAAGGTTCTGTTACATAAAGAGATCATATATTTCAAAGTGATAACATAATGGTGAAGTGTTTGGCTGTTAATAAAAAAGCTCATGGTTTGAAACTACCAGCCACTCCATGGAAGAAAAACCTGGCATTCTGTGCCCATAACAACTACAGCCAGAAGCCCCTATGGACCACGTACACACAGCACAGCATAGCTATGAGTCAGAATCAAGTTGAAAGCACACAACAATGTGTTTCTCACTCTAGTCTCTTGTTCCTCCTTTGCAGTAAGTAGGCATTTCAGATGTTATTAAAAAACACATTTTTGAAATTTTTCTAATGTGACTGTAGGCTGGAACTAAAAAAGGATGTGATTATGAATTTGTGAGGTTATGTGAATTTTTAAAATTTTTTTTAAAAAACAGTTAAAGAGCAAATTCTTTACAAGTAATCTGTTTCTCTCATTGCTGTCAAGTCAGAACAAAGTCAAACTGACCCCCCAGCAGGTTTCTGAGTGGCTGTAAATTACATGTGAGGAAATGGCTTATTTTCCCTCCTCTGCCAGTGGATTAAAATACAGAAAGGCACTGTCTTTGGGTTAATAGCACAGTTCCTTAGACTATATCACCAGAGTTCCGTAAGTAATTAGTAATCCTCTTAAAAAAATTACTAAGATTTATCTAGACAGTTCCCACATTACATTTTAAACTATGTTTTGGATGGTAATAGCTGCAATCTCATACAAATTTCCCAAAACACTTGGTCTTTGCTTAAAGTAAGGCACTCTGGTGAGTAAATGGCTGGGCATTGTGGGAGATGTAACCAGACAACCAGCAGGAGATCAGCAGTCATTGGAATAATGAGATGGATGCATTGTGGGTCTCTACGGCAACCAAGGACCCCAGCTGATCATCCTCTTCCCAGCTCAGCACAGCACAGCCCACCTGTGCCAAGTCTCACTTCATGGCAGAAGCATTTCATTCCTACATTCAATTTTTTCAAGGACTGCAGCTTATGAAACAGCATAAATTACTTTAACTTAGCTAAATCTCTAACAAATTCATCAAAAGTATTTCCCTATTTAGAACTTTAATTTTGCTTTTTTTTTTTTTTAAATACTTTTGGGATGAGAAAAAAAGAAGAAAACCCACTTTCATGTTGCATGTTGCAATACATTTTACTAAGCTATATCCAGTATTTCATTGACTTGGCAGGCTAAGCAGAATTCTGTAGTAATATCCATCTATCTTCTGAAAAGAGTTAATTGAACATAGGGCAGTGCTATTGGCTGTCTGGAGAGATTTCTAAAGGCCTTACATTCCTGAAAGAGCAGAGGTGGGAGTGTTGGTGGTATGAGTGGTGGTGGTGATGGTAGTGGTGGCAATGGTGGTGTAGTAGCAATGGTGGTAGGAGTGATGTTGGTGGTGCTGGTGCTGGTGGCGGTGATGGTGGTAGCTGTGATGGTGGTGGTGGTGGTGATTGTGGTGGCAGTGGTGATGGTGGTGGTGGTAGTGGAGGTAGTGGTGATGGTAGTGATGGTCGTGGTGATGGTGGTAGTGATATTGGTGGCAATGGTGGTGACAGTGGTGATGGTGGTGGTTGTGATGGTGGTGGTAGCAGTGGTGGTGGCAGTGGCAGTGTTAGTGGTGGTGGTGGCAGCAGCAGTGGTGGTGGTGGTGGCGATGGTGATGGTGGTAGGAGTGATGGTGGTGGTGATGGTGGTCATGGTGGTGGTGGTGGTGGTGGCAAAGGTGGTAGTGGTGGCGGTGATGTTGTTATTGTTAGTGGTGGTGATGGTGGTAGTCTGTAGTGTGCTGTGCTGTTAACCAAAAGGTTGAGTGTCTATAGCAGATCAAATCTACTATATTTTTATAAAAGAAAGAGGGACAATCTCCTTCTGTTAAGATCTACCGCCTTGGAAACCCAATGGAAGGTCACTAAGAATCAGACTGGACTCATCGGACATAAATTTTTCCGTTTCCTTAGAATTTTCTTTTTTGTGTCCTCTTCTCTAGCACTTATTAACTGTGGATGAGTACACAAGTTTTCCCATCTACAAAATGGGATAAGAAGTGAACTTAGGTCATAAAGTCAAATGTCTGGAACAAATGACTTTTATAACTTCATAGTAGAAGTTCCTATCACAGCTCACAATAGTATTTGCTATTATAATTATCCCCTTATTTTATCTCATACATTTCCTCTCTTAGTTTTGTCTTTTCTTTTTATTAATTTTAATGAAAGTTTACAGAGACTTTGGATTTCTATTCATTCATTGTTGCACCTTTCTCCCTGCCCAACCTCCCCCCAGGTTGCTCTTCTCCTTGAAAAGTAAAAGAAAAATTCTTTCATTGTTATACAATACCTCCCCCTTAGTCCACTCCACTATGCAGCCTTCGCTCTGGACTCCTGTCATGACAATAATAGCTAATCATATATCCCTTTTAAACAGTTCTCTCCCTCATCTGATTTTTATCCTGTAAACTCAAGAAAATGACTCTTACTCACACTATCCACTCATTCCTGTTAATTGGACTGGAGCTCCCTGAGTGCACAAATGTGAACATGTACTACTTAAGAGATACTCATGTTTTGAGAGCAAGGTTTTAACTTTGTAAGTGTTCAAGGGAATGAAAACTTTGAAATGGATTTTGAGTCTCCTGAAAACAATTTTAAAAGTGACTCTGGTGGTGCTATGCTTACGGTGTCTGGCTGCTACCCACAAGGCCAGGAGTTCAAACACTGAAGCTGCTCTGCAGATGGAAGATGAGAAAGCTTGCTCTCGGAAGTCTTATGGACAACTTCTACGCTGTCTTGTTAGTTGCGATTGATTCAATGGCACTGAGTTTGGTCTTTTGTCTTGTTTTGTGAATAGTCTTAACCGAGTGAGATGACTAGTTACTGAGAAGCCATGTAGATTAGAATTGGGAATCATTAGTAGAAGGATGGGCAATCTCCTCCCAAGCAATTAACTGCCTCTGAAAACCTGCCAGAGGGTCAACTCAATGGTAAACAGCACTAACAGTAAAAGAAGGAGCTGCAAATCTCCTGTGAAAACTGCAGCCTCTGAAAACCCCCCTGGACAGTCAGCTATGACTCAGTTATGAATCAATGGTATTCAACAACAACAACAACAACAACAACAGTAGAAGATTGATTTGGGTCAATACCCTACTTCCATCAGAGATTAGAATCTAAAGACAAAATATTTGACTTTGCTGAGACTATGTAAAATATCTTTAAAATGAGGATAAAAATACTTCATAGGGTTATCTGAGTGTCAGAAGAGAAAGGCCCCTAACACTTAGTAAGCACTCAAATCATACATTTAGTGAACACCCATAAACTTGTACTTTATTATTATCATAATACTAATATGATAGCTATATACTTCTCAAAATTAAATTTCAATGTGACATCAGGTTCCCTAAGTGTAGTACCTTCTTCTACAGAACATAGATGTGAATGAACACTGAAGATGTGATTTCCGCCTCTTTGTGTTCTGTTTCATAAATAGTGCTAATGTTGGAGTAGAACAGATTTTGTATTGCAAAGTAACAGAACAGTAAATGGTAGGACAAGGAAAAGTGCTAAGAACACAGTGAATTCATTAACACATTTTCCAGCCAAATATATATATATATCTAACTATCATCAGTTATTTTAAACATCAAATAGATATGGAGCAAAAAAGTACATGAATTACAAAATATAGAAAACGAGAACTTCAAACCTTTGGTGCAAATTTTAAAGAATGTCTCTATGGTGGATAAGATAATGATTTACTTTAAAAGATGTGCTCATATTTTTCTGTTACCTGTGCAGGGGCCACCAATTCTAACTCCGAAGTGGACTCCGAGTTGAGAGCGCTTTTCCCACCACTCAGTTCTGGTTGAGATCTGTGTTCTGAGGACCTGTCAGGGATGCATTCAGTGAGCTGGAGTACACTGAGCAAAAAGCCAGTAGAAACACAAGAGCCGAGCTAATTTAGATCACAAGAGCAGGGAAGCACAGCTCTTGCCAGAATTATATTGTGAAGATATTTCTATTTTGTTGACCATTCTCTGAATTTCTTAAGTGGCTACAAGGTACTATTGTCTCTGTATAATTTAGAGTTCAGGTCAATGATGTGCATAAAACAAATGCAATAACTTTGTCTGGGCTATAGAAAGTTCTGGTTTTTAAACAGTCCATTTTATTTTGGGAAATGACTGTGTACAAAATATTTCCAGTGTAATTTCATCTTTATATAGAACATGAAATACCACATGAAATAAAATAGTGATGCACGTAGACATGGGAAGACTGAAACACCCTTTCCTTCTGGATCATTGTCAGGTATTAGGTGCTGCTGAGTCAGTTTGACTCATAGTTCCTCTATTCACACAAGAACAAAACACTCCCTGGTTTGCAACTCTGCTGCTTTCAAACACATGTGCCCTATTTTTACAAATGAGTATTCATGGGTATTTCTTGATTTTTGCATTGTCTGACTGCTGATAATTAAGTAAGGTAGAAAAAGTACCTCTTTAACAGGGAAAATAAGAATTTTAATATCATTTCTGTGACAGCACAGTGAATGCATAAATACACATACACCTCAGCTCAGTTCAGCATTGAGAAAGTCATTCACCACCATTAAATCATGAGCCTCTCAAACTCTTCATTGGTTAAAACATTTCATGATTCAGATGAAGTCATGTTGAATTTGCAGACGCTACACTAGAGTACTTGGGTGGTGCAAATGGTTAATGAGCTTGGATGCTAATTACGTCTACTCAGGGATGGAGAGAGGCCTAATGATCAACTTTCAAAAGCCCACTATTGCAAATCCTTTGGGTCACAGTTCTGTCTGACACACATGGGGTCACCATGGGTTGGTATCAGTTGAGAGCTGGTTTGGAAAGGAATCACCATAATTAACAATGATGTGTTGTATGAAGTTTATACATAATGTCAAACATCACAAGTGTCTGAATCATGGGTCCCTTCAACACATAAGTTGTACACAAATACAACTGCCACACAAATGGTTATTTTCTCATATTAAAATATCTCACCATAGCAGCTCTTTTGATCCAGTCCTGGATGAACATGATGACTTTCTCTCTGCCATCGGAAGTCCCTTACTATTTTGGTCTCCATGGAATTTGACATCATCCCATTTTTCCAGTTGGGTTTGAATGTCTACTAAGGAAAGAGGTATGAGAAAGGGTGGGTAGTAGCAGGGGGAAGAGTAAGAGATATGAAGAAAAGAAAGAAATTGATTATGATTGAAAAGTCTTACAACTTGAATTTACTTAACTGAACTGACTTCTCCTCAGGGCGTATGCAATTACACGAAGAATTAAAACTTCATAAAATCAATCAAACTACATTTACCTACAACTTTTAAGAACTCTATCCTAGCAGAGGAAGTTGAGGAGATTAAGAGAACTTGAGGAGCTGAAAGATAGTAAGTACACAAATCTGATAGCAAGGTTTTATGTGAATATTAGAAGCTGGAGCTAGGTCAGTTTTGTACCCTTTGACACCTAGTACAGTGCCTGACAGATAGTTGGGGCTCCATGTTACTTGATATAAAATGGCTTTAATATATTGCCCCCAAATTATAGAGAATAAATTTCTTTGATTTCTTGACTAATGATGTATTTTAAATACTTTGTCTAAGAATTATGGATGTCATGGTGATGAGTCCACATTAGATCTCTTTTCTAAATGTTTGATGTTCTATTTTGGTCACTTCAACTAGTTGATTTCTGGTCCCACTTTACAACAGATATCATACAGTCTTGTTATTTCATTTGTAACTTCTTTAATGAGAATTTTATTAAGAGTTACTAAATCATTAGTTTCCAGAAATCATATTCTATCGCAGTGAGACCGTACAACATTTCCCTTATGTTTATTCCCACCCCCCCCAGACACACGCTCTCAAATGCAAGACCAACCTTTTCAAGGTCGCATGAGAATTTTAATTGAGCATGTGCAGCTGAAAATAAAAAGAAGAGCTATTCACATAGATTGAATTGCTTTTGTAGTCAAAGCAATCAAGCTGTTTCACAAGAATTTACTTCGATGCTATGTGCATTCTAAATGTTGTGTGTGAGCCAGGAACTCTGGGGAGAATGAGCATATGGAGTTCTAGTCTACCAGCCTCCGGATGAGGAGGTTGGTTTGAAACACTTCCGGCATGCTTCTAGAAAGAAATGCTGTTTAAAGTGCTCACTGATAAAAGGGGGTGGGAGGAAACAGCAACACTTTTTATAGCTTTTGTATAAACCACTTAATTTTTCACTAAAGGAAGGAATTTATAATGAAGGAACAGAGAAAGAAATGCTAAAACCATATTTTTCCAGTGGCTTGATTCTTAAAAGAAGCTGAGTTCTCTCTCAGTGACAGGTAGAGACTATAGTTGAACATGAACAAACTACTTAAACTCAGGTTTTGGGTTTTTGTGTGGTTTTTTCCCCCTCTCACTTAGATTTTTTTTTTAAAGTCTTCAAGTTATTTCCTACGAAGTTCTTTTACATTAGGGTTCTATGATTTCTTCACAGGACATTTTTGCAAAAGCAGAGAAATGTTTTTATATCTAATTTTCAGTGCAACAGTTATTTGGTAAGTTGTAATGATTTTAATAATGCAACACTTATTTTGACATGTTGCAATACTTTTAATAACATAGGTTTTTTTTACACAAATGCATATGTCTGATTCACTTGCATAACTAATAAACAGACAATACACTGTTGATGGGAAGTAGTAGAGATAGTTATAAAGTTTTCAGTGGAAAACGGCAGGGGATAGACAATCTTGCATAAACATCTAGTAGTTTGAACAGCAGTCTATAAACCAATCCTGGACAATCACATGTGCATACATGACTAACACTCTGCTGATAGATTCTATTTCAAATTTTTATTTCCTGCTCAGCTCTCTTTCCTGAATTCTATACCTATAATGTTGTTGCTGTTGGCATTGACTCAGAATTTACTCCACTGAGTCTTCACAGGTTGTAATCACAGGGGAGGAGATTATGTATTTTTCTTCCTCAGAGCAACTGGTGCATAGAACTGCCTGCCTTTGGGTTGGCAGTGCAACTCCTTACCCACTAGACCACTGAATGCTGTAGACTTGACTATGTCCCACAGCAATCCTATGGGACAAAGAAGTCTACAGTTTACAAAGCTGTTATCTTTCTGGATACAGAATGCCAAATTTTCCTCCTGTGGAGCAGCTGTTGGGTTCAAACTGCTGACTTTGGTTAACAGTTGAAAGCTTCACCACTGAGTCACAAGGGTTCCTTAAAAAACAGGCAGATCAACAGTGAACTCGGCATTGTCCAAGTTTATCCTTTCTTTCCTCTTTGCCCTCTATCCTCTATCACAGATTATTATTATATTATATATAATAGATATTATTATATTATTATTATTATTATTATTACAGCACATTCTATTCATTTCTCTCACTTACATAAACATATCTACTCAGCTTCCTATTTCAATATTTCTTTAACTGTCTCCTCTTCACCACCTCTACCACTTTTTAGTATTTACATTGGCCCCCTTGTCTCCATTTATCCACCAGAATTTAATTTTTCTGAAATAGAATCTGCTTGTTTTTCTCCTTTGTAAGAAACCCTTCAACATTCTTCAATCTTCCAAATTTTAAAGACATCCAAGATGACCATTGTCTGACCCCTGCTGAATCTTAGGATTACTTATCTCAATTATCCTAACCTTGAATCCTATTGCAATGCTTGTATTTTTTGTCTTTATCTATTTGCTTCTGAATCTCTCTTTTCTTTGTACTATAAATCTTCTTCTCTGTCTTTTCTTTGCCCCTCTCAATACATAATTTTCATCTGGTAAATTCCTACTAATCTCTTAAAACATAGCTCCCATAGTAATTCATTGACTGTAAGACATTGTTTAACTTCCAGGATAGGGCAGAGGCTGTATGAGTATGTTCATGAAGTATCCAACCTGGTGTCTAAATGGTGCATATAGCATGTATATTTTTGTGTTTGTGTGTGTATATATTTTTTTATGTGTTTAAACTCAGATTTATTGCTGTTGAGTTGTAACTGACTCATAGCTGACCCTCCACTGGGTTCCCCCCGAGAAGGATATTACAAATTCTTGTCCTTTGGAGCCAATGGTAGATTTGAGTCACCAGAGAGATGTGGACATTTGGTTATGGGTGCAACTCGCTATGGAGTATGCAACTCAGAATATCCCTTTTAAAAAAATTTATTTTAATGAACATTTACAGAGATTTAGGATTTCCATTCATCATTGTTGCATTTTTCTCCCTGTTCACCCCTCCCCCCCAGTTCACTCCTCTCTCTGAAAAGTAAAATTTCTTCATTGATTTACTACAATCCCTTTTTATAGTACATACTCTGATGATGTCATGTGCCATTGAGTGAGAACTGGCTCACAGTTGACTCTCCCGTGAGTTTTCAGAGACAGTAAATAGCATGGAAGGAGACTGTCCATCCTACTCTCATGGTGCAGCTGGTTGATTTGAACTGTGTGCTTTTGGGTCATCAGGGCAATTCCTTACCACTAAACCACCAGAGCTCTCTATGTACGAGATATGTAACATGGAACAAGGAAATGGGTCTTGCAAGGCCTAATAGAATCATCTTTGCTTTCTTTCTTTTCTATTTGCTCAAAACAAAACCGAAAGGAACAGTTAGTTTTCATCTTTGTGTTCACATGGCCCACTTCTGCTTGCTAGGTTACCTATGAAGGGGGGAGCCTTGGAGGCCCAGGGTTGTGGCAAGGGGCTACTCTGAATCACCATAGTCATAAAACTTTTGCCTCTCACTGGGCAGAGTAGAGGATTGAACTTGTTTCATGGCCAAAAGGACAGCTCTATGTAAATTTCCTTAATAAACTCCTTCACCATAATCCTGGAGTTGTCAGACTCTTCTGTTTCACAGTTTCCTCTGAGTTTTGGTAGCAAATTTTAAGTTGCTAGTCCATGCCCAGAAAACTGATGAGCGACCATCAGACAGAGGGAATTGAGAATGAGCACGAAGGATCTGCTGGAGGAAATCTTGGGTTGGGCAGCAACTTCCATATAGAGAGGTTTGGTCCCTGTGCTTACTGCATGTGAATCACTGCAGGAGCACGAGGACAGCCCTTGTGGGAAAGTGCCTAACTGTACTAATGGCGGCTGAGAAAGTACTGGTCACTGAGAGAGTGACCACTGCTCTGGATGCTTTGGCTGACCACTAACGCCCAGCTAGTTGTTGGAGTGCACATTTAGGCCCTGCAGGAGGACCTGTGACTGGGATGAGACAGATACAGGACAGTTGTGTGTAGTCATGACTGACATTCAAGATAAACACCTCTGTGAGTAGGGTCAACAGCTGTCAATGCTCATCTACAGGTTTGCAAAAACAGAGGTAGAGACAAGCAAAGACTGTAGAAGAGTAAGCACCTGTGAGGGCAGAGGCATGAGGGAGAGAGCCCAACTGCCAACATCCCTCCTTTGGTTCCCTTTTCTTCCTCTTCCTCCTCTCTCCTCCCTCCCATCCCTACTGACCATGGAGCAGCCTCACCTCCTTGCACAGCCACTAATTATCCATAAGTGAAAGCTAATCATGAACCTGCTTCCATGACACTGTAGGAACACACCCCTGCTGAGTTGATAGAGCTCTGTGGGAAATTCCAGCAGAAAGGAAAAAAGACTAGGGTAGCTAAGAGGCTGTAGCTGTGGGAGGCGATGGCGATGGTGCCACTGTAAAGGGCGCTAAGGCAGAGAAAACAAGAAGTATCACTACCCACTCCACTCTCCAGCAGCACCTACACACAGCTTGAAACAAAGAGGCTTAGCAGCATGCAGGGTGTGAACTGTGGAAATAGAGAAATAAAAGACTGACCCTATAGGATGACCATCTGAAAGGCTCTTCAGAGTAACTCAAAAGCAGGTGTGGGTGGACTTGGTGGCTGTTGGGATGACAGTAAAAAAAAAACCCAAACAAACCTTGAAAGAATACAGAGCTGGAGAAACAATATTGTTCTCTAGGTCCTGGTACCCTCCATGAGGAAATGCCGCTTGCTTCCAGAAAAGCCCCGAAAGTCCCTGGGGTGATGTCATCTTGAGGTTGGATCCCACAGGGAACCAGAAGTCCCACACAGAGGTCACAATGCATTAATCAAAGATAAAGT